GGTCCCCAGTGCTGTGGGGGCTCCCAGACAGAGCAAGTCTAGGGCCGCTGGGGAGCTTTCCAGGAGGAAGTCAGTGCAAACCCATTTTCTGGGAGAACAGATTAAACCCTGGCCTGGACCTTTGACCCTGTGCCCTAAGGAGGTACTGTTCACTGGAGACAGGACAGAAAACCCTCCCACCTTAATTAAGATGAAGTGAGTTAATGCCTGTATGTAAGATTCTTACTGCCTCTCCTGAGCAAGCAGCTTTCTCTCCATTAGGGTCTATATCTCCGTGGGAGGGAAACACTCCAAAAAGAGTCGCAAAAGACTGAATCTCCAGGTAATCCAAGACATTAGCATCTGTTAATCACCTTGAACTTGACTCGTTCTCACTGACTTTCATGGCTTCAATCTATGAAATTAATAGAGGAGCCTAGAATTTCCTCAAGGACATTGGGATGTTTTAGCTGAGTCTTGAAGCTAGTGAAACATTTTGCCAGGAGATGAGTAAAGGGTAGTGGAGGGTAGTTTCTTTGCAGAAAACGGGGAGAATGAGTGTATCCCTGGAGTGTGCTGTGTGAAGGGAGCCAGGTGACATGAGATGTGAAGGACCTTGAGGGCTGTGCTGGGGAGGTGGGACCACCTGTGAGCTGTGTAAAGACCTTGCGTGGAGCAAAAGAAGCCTACGTATTTGTTATGTGAAGTTCAGAAACAGAGAAAACAAAGTATGATACTAGAGTCAAAATGCCGGTCCCTTGTTGGGGTCAGCTCTGACTGGGAACGCGCCAGGGAAGCTCTATGGGTGCTGGATGTGTTGATACCTTGCTCAGGGTGGTGGCTGAGCACTTACCTAGCACTTTCTATCTCCATCTGTAAAGGCCAGCTGCCCACCTGTGCTGGGGAAGGGGCTTGGAGGCAGGGAGATGAAGCCATAAGGGTAGAAGGAACTGGAGGTGAAGGTCTTACCTGGTTTTGGCTTCGGTGACTGTTCCTATAATCATGCCCCCCCGCCCCGGGCCTTTGAAGAGTAGACTCCACATACCTGTTCTCCCGGGTGCTAATTGGTGGATGTGTTTGGAAATTCGGCCTGCCTTGTATTCCTACTCCTATTACTCATTTCTAAAAGCCAACAGTTTTCTGGCTTGAGGGAAAGAAATCACAAGAACAACTGAGTGTTAAGTATCCAAGGGTAGGGTATTATTGCCACAGGAATCTATTGTGTTTTCAAATCATTGTGACCAGATATTTAGTGGTCTCTCACCTGCAGCAGGAATTAGACATTATCTTAAATGTTCTGAGGAGACAGAAACTTGGGTAGGAGCTTCAGCAATACAGCTTTTGACCCAAGAAGTGCCCAGGGAGGGACTTCTTTTCCCTGGGAGCTCATGAGCACCGTATGCAGAGAGCCTGCTTTGTGCTGGGCTCTGGGGCTGGGTGTTGGGGACACAAGTAGAAATAGGACACGGTGCCTCAAGGAGCCTGTGATCCAGGAGGAAAGCAGGTGTGAGCAGGGCGTCCAGTGCCACGAGAGCCAGCAGCGGGAGAAGTGGTACAGGGAGGGGCTCTTACAGCGAGGAGGGTCACGGAGGCTGTAGAGCGGGTGCCTGGGCAGGGCTCTTAGAGGAGGCAGGTCACTGCACAAGCGGCGTAAGTATTGCAGGCAAGGGGGGAGGCAGGCGAGGCAGAGGGACAGGGCATAGAGGTGTGTGACGACACCTGTCTGAGGGACTGGGTGTCCTTGGTGTTGCTGGAGCCTAAGTGCTGGGACAGGGATGGCAGCTCGGGGCGGATTTAGGGTAGGGATGGCCTTGGGCCCAGAGACCTGTAAGGGACTCATGTTAAAATGTGAGCGAGGGGAATTCGGGAGGGGGCGGGAGCAGGTGGCCCTCGGCCTGTGGGCCGTCGGCAGGGTGTTGCTGGGTATCAGGTCTGGAAAGACCTTTCAGCCCTCCCGCCCCCTGCAGCGCCCCGTGCTTTTGCCCTGCGTTTCAGCAGAGGCAGCGGGGCAGTGGCCCAGCTCCGGAGTCAGGCAGATCCGAGTTCCAGTTCTGGCTGCGCCTCTTACCTGATGTGTGACCTTGGACAGAGCTGAAGGACTTCACCTTTCTGAGGGTGTCATCTAAAAGATGAGGATGGTGTCTACTGATAGAGGAAGATGAAATGAGGAGGGCCGTCCTAGCCCAGCGCCTGGCAGAGGGGGAGCACTGCACGTAAGGGTCAGTGCTGCTGTGTTCATTACTGCTCATTGTCTCAGACAGGCATCTACATGCTGGGAGTGACGGCAGTTGGGGGGGTGGGGTCCCTGCAGGGGGACCCACGGGAGGTAAGGGGCTGCGGGCAGAGTGAAGAGGCCTGTGTGGTGGTGGGTCCGCACATGGTGAGGGCCGGCGCAGGGGAGCGTGGCTGTCTCAGGCTCATGTTCCCCAGGCGCTGGGGCGCCTCATCAAAGTGATGCTCTTTTTTTTTTTTTAATTTAAAAAATTTCTTAAAATGCTTCTTTGTTTTTGAGAGAGAATGAGTGAAGGGCGGGGGGGGGGGGACGTGGCGGGGGGAGACAGAGGACCCCAAGCAGGCTCTGTTGACTTGTAGAGAGCCCGATGCAAGGCTCGGACTCACGGCCTGTGAGATCATGACCTGAGCAGAAGTCGGATGCTTAACTGAGCCACCGAGGCACCCCAAAGTGATGTTCTTAAGTTGTTTGGAGCCTTGCCAGCAGGGCTGAAGGGAAAGGCCAAGCAGGCCCACCACTCACGGTGGCCAGTTCCTATGGCTCTTCCTACAGAGCTGTATTTGGAAGCGTGATTAAAGTCCTTTCTTGGGGGGAGGGTGTGGATGGGTAAAATAGAGGAAGGGGATTAAAAGGTACAGGCTTCTTATGGGATAAGTAAGTCAGGGAGATGAACTACAGCACTGGGAATAGAGTTAACACTGTAACAACTTTGCCCTGGGGCGGGTGGTAGTTCTGCAGTATATACGTGGAATCACTCTATTGCACACCTGAAGCTAATACAATATTGTACGTCAACTGCACTTAAAAAAAAAAGCAAAGGGGGGCGCCTGGGTGGCTTAGTCGGTTAAGCGTCCGACTTTCGCTTAGGTCATGATCTCGCGGTTCGTGGGTTCGAGCCCCGCATCGGGCTCTGTGCTGACTGCCAGCTCAGAGCCTGGAGCCTGTTTCAGTCTGTGACTCCCTCTCTCTCTGACCCTCCCCTGCTCACGCTGTCTCTCTCTGTCTCTCTCCTAGAAATAAATAAAAAATATTTAAAAAAAAAAAAAAAGCAAAGAATACAAAAAAATCACCCTAAAAATATCTTTCTTTCTAGACATCTGGATAGTTTTAGTTATTTGTAGTCAGGGTCAGTGGTTCCACCGGACATGCCCTCCGTGGACAGAGAGCCCAAGATGCAGAGAAGAACGAAGGCTGTGCCTTCGCTTGTGGCCGTGAGCAAGTGGCAAGTGCACGTGGGGAGAGTTACTCTCAGAAGTTAGTCCTTAAGTTCAGGAAAAGGTGTTTAAGCTCTTCCTCCTTCTGCCCCGCCAGCCCCCATTTTTTTTTCTTTGTTTCTTTGTGGGTTTTTTTTTTCTGCTTTTGATCTCAAGGCAAATAATTCTTTGCTGCAAAAGTTTTAGGTATTTTTACCGGTTCTCTTTGATTCCAGGATGCCATACACTGTGTATTGCACACTGTTGAAGAAGATTTATTAGGTACATAAAGTTACACATTGTTATTCCACGTGTTAGATACATTAGAGAAGAAACCTACCCAAGCCCCTAAGGTATGCGGGTTTCTGTTATTGTAGCACGTGGGCCGTATTTGACTGGCTTCCCTCCCGATGAGGTCAGGGATGATCTGTACAGGGGAGAGTGTGACTTTTAAACCTTTTGTCCCATCCCTCGTCTCCACACTACAAGAGTCCTTTCCTTTTGTAAAAATAAATGGGACAGAGCATGCCTTCTGGTTCCCCTTTGAGGTTGAGCGTAACTTGGCAGGGCTCCATGGAGCGGCGTTGCGGTGTCGGTCATTCATCAGTGCTCGGGTCGCTGCAGTAGTGTCCTGGCTGAGTCCTCTCCCCCTTGCTGGGCTGTTGTCCCAAAGTGCTGCTCCCTGGGGGAGAAGCTTCTGGGCCAGCCTCCTCAGGGCGCTTAGGTCACAGGGAGCGACCTCTCCAGCCAGGCATGTCCCCCCTGGGTCTCCCTAGTGCCTCCCTCATTCCCGCCCTTGCCTGGGAGTTGCCGTGCCCATCCTGATCCCCTACTTTCTTCAAGGCGCGTCTTGAGGCTCCTTGTTTTAAAGCGATTTCAGATGAGCATCTTCTCACAGACGTCTGTGCCCAGCCTGCTGTTGGTGCATTTGTGTCCCACCTGCTCTGGACTGTTGTCACGTTTCCCACATGTGAGAGGCTACCAGGCTCGTGGGGCAGGCGCTGGGGGACCTTGTTCCAGTGGGGCGCTGCCATCGCTTTCCTGGAACGAAACCCTGGGCTTGACTTCTCCGGCGAAACCAAATGGCAGCAGTAGAGTAGGTCTCTGACGCTTCTTTGAGCTCTCAGGTGCCTTTAGCATTTGTCTGTCATATGCTGCTCATGGTATGGTTGCCGTCAACGGGCCGTGATTCTTCTAGAGCAAAGTGGGGAGAGAATATACAGGTTTTTGCGCCTGTGTGGTAGTTTGTGATGCATGTGTGGATACAGAATCTTTCTCTGTATAGTGTCAGCGGGTAAGCGTTTTAGTGTGTACAGGAAAACCTGTGTAACTTGAAAAAGTTTCGGAGTAAAATTTGCTTCTCCTATGGTTTTCATAGGTGAAAAGGAATGAACTTTTCTTCCAGAAACTAAAGCGATTTTGTTGTTTGTTTGGGAGCTTCCAAATACTAATATTTGTAGTATTTGGAAACTTCCAGATATGGCACACATGAGGTAAGATGTTAGCATCTTGAGGCTAAACCACTGCGGTGCCGTGTGTTATTATTTGATTGGATTCTTTGGAAATGTAATACTTCTTGTCTTTTCTCTCTGTAGTCAGAAAATGGGTAAGAAGAGTCGAGTGAAAACGCAGAAGTCGGGCACTGGTGCCACGGCAAGCGTGTGTCCGAAGGAAACCTTGAACCTGACCAGCGAGCTGCTACAGAGTAAGTTCTGCCCTAGCCTTCCCTCCCCGGTGCAGGGCCACGTGCTCAGGCCGCACGGGCTGGTCTCTGGCACGGCGGGGCAGGGAGCTGGGCACTCTTGGGCTCAGATCCCTGCGTATTAGCCACGTGAGCTGGGCAGGTTCTGGAACTTCTCTGACCCCCACTCTCCCCTTCTATAAATAAGCCTGGGGATATCAGCAGTGGGTAGAGATGAACGGGGCCCGGGTGAAACTGTGAACGTGAAGCCTCTCTAGCGCAGCCCCCCAGAACGTGTCCCCCCCCACCCCCCGCCCCGGGGCAGGGACCAGCTTGACTCCCCGGGACAGGCCGTGTCAGCCCTGCGAGCCTGAGTCCACAGCAGTGCAAGGCGAGCGTGCCAGGCCTCCCAGGGAGCAAACTTTGGACCTCTCCTCCCTTGTCAGAATGGCTCCCCTTTACTTTTAGTGATTCGGTCATAGTTTTCCAATTCTTGGTTCTCGGAAATTAAATATTATTAAGTGCCTGTACTGTAGTAAGTTAGTGTAACTTGGTAACTTCCTTTTCTAACTGTGAATTTAAACTGGTGCTATGTATGTAGGGTTGAAACTTGGCTGTGGTCCCTCTATTAACTACCTTTGTCTCCTTTTCCCCTCTCTCTCTATATATACACACATACGTATACACACACACACACACACACACAACGTATACATACGTATGTGCGTGTGTGTATATACATGTTCCGAGTACGTGACAGGCCAACCCCAAATACACATTTAGCAGTCTCTCCCTGCCAGCAGCAGCTAGCCACAGAGTCGGGGTCAGGTCCCGCCCCAGGTGCTCCGGTGGACCCCCTGAGACCCCCACCCCCAGAGCAGTGTGGGCCCCCCCCATAGAGCCCTGATGTGCTGACCCCTTGCCTCCTCTGTCCCCCTGACTGCAGGCGGCTTGTGTGCTGGGGCCTCAGCCGATGTTTGTTGAGGGAAGAGTGACTGGTTAGCCCTGATAGTTACAAGTCAACATGGGTGATGACTAGTTGGTGTTATTTACCACATACGCTCTTTTCCTCGGAGGACAAGGGAGGCCATGGGAAGGGCGCTCTCTCTTTAAACGCCTACAGTTGTTTGAAAAGGAAAGTGTTTGCTGACAGGCCGGGTGCCCAGAGCACAGCCTCCAGAAACTCCCGGCACCGGTCTCCAGTGCTGGCCTTTCGCTTCTGGCCCCTGGGCCGGGGTCTCAACGTCCTTTTTGGCCGTGACTGTGCCGTCTCCTTTCATGACTCCCCCGGAGTGCTTAATATAGAGCCTTATGGATGTGAAATTGTCCTTATGTCCAATTTAACTGGTTCCTTTAAAGAGCCATTGTTCTAGGGCTTAACTAGAAGGAAATGTTGACTTTTAAGGTTACCTTTTATTTTTTATCCTCTAGAAGCGTTTTCAGGGAAACACTTTGCATTTTAGCCTAGCTTTTGAGATTTCTCCCTGTATAAGTCCATTCTGAGGAAAATCTTTCAGAGCAGCAGAGTGAGGTGGCTGCAAGGTCAGTGCCCACACTTAAGTACAGGGGTCCCAGGTTAATAAGCATGTGGGTGCTTTCAGGGGGTTTATGTGCTTTGAAAAGTACACTTGATTTAAACCTGTCACGTTTATCATTGTGGCTGTGGTACCTTTGTCCTTTAAAAGTCAACCAGCAGAGGGGGCACCTGGCTGGCTCAGTTGGTGGAAGCCTGCGACTCTTCACTCGGGGACGTAAGCTAAAGCCCCACAGTGAGCGTGAAGCCTACTTTAAAAAAATGGTATGGGTGCCCAGGGAGCTCCGTTAGCTCAGCGTCTGACTCTTGGTTTCAACTCAGGTCATGATCTCACAGTTCGTGGGTTCGAGCCACGCATTGGGTTCTGCACCACCAATGTGGAGCCTGCTTGGGATATTCTCTCTCCCTCTCTCTCATTGTCCCTCCCCTGCTCGCTCCCTCTCTGTCTCTCCATCCTCTCTCAAAATAAATGAATAAACTTAAAAAAAAAACATTGAGAACAAATTAAAAGTAAACCAGCAGCAATAACGGAACCCAAACCCTCTTTGTACTGAAGACTAACTGGCCAAGTAGAAAGCAAGCAGGATTTGAGTGCTGCGGCTTTTGTGTTCCAGAATGCAGTAGCCCTGCGCCCGGCCCCGGCAAGGAATGGGAAGAGTATGCGCAGATCCGGTCTCTCGTCGAGAAAATACGGAAAAAACAAAAAGGTACATTTTCTAGAACAAGAATCGTATTTTAATAAAGTCACAGAGAGCGGGTCACAGGTCCGGAAGGTTTTGAGGGTAGTGGAGGACCCGGGGTCCTTCCTGCTATGGAAGGTCACTGTGAAGGGGCCTGGAGTTAGGGGGCGATGCACTGGGAAGCCGTCCCAGGAGCTCTCCTGTTTCTGAGGTGTGGCTGCCGCCTTTGGAAGGAATAAGAATGTTCAGCTGTAGGGGAAGAGGGTTCGTGTCTAGGGGCTAAAATGACACAACTTTTATTTATTTTTATTTTATGAAATATCTATGTAGAGCTGTTTGTTTTTCCATAGTGTGTTTCCTTTGGGGTTTGAGGTTGGTACCTGATGCCATGAGTGATCGACACACAAATACACACCGCTTAAAGTCAAATGATGAACTCAAACAAATCTCGGTTAAATCAGAGGTGAAGTTATATGTCTGAAGCTGTGTTTTCACAGGGTGTATTCAGTAGGTGTCTGAGTGATTCTCAGCCAGGCCGGCAATGGGGCCAAGTGTCAGTTTGAGAAAGCCTATTCAATATGCCTATTGTTTTTGTTCTGTTAAGCGCAAAAAATAAAGATTGGTATGCAGGGCCGCATGGAAGGTGGAAGGGAAAACACAAGGAGCCTGCCTTTCAATGGGTGAGAAGACCCTTCTTGGACCCCCATTTGTACATACGGCCCTGAACATGGATCAGGATTGTTTCTCTATTTGCTCTCAGTAGTGGTAGTTTTACTGCTCTCCTGTGGACTTCAGCGTATGTACAGGCTTCAGGTTAGATGATCTCAAACCCGAGACAATGACCCATCCCTTCGTAATGTGTTTATTTGCCCCAGATGGTGGCCCGTGCTGACCCTGGCTCAGCCCATCTGTAGCTGAACGTGTTTCATGCGTCCTGGGCGCATATTGTCAGCAGAGACTGCTAACTGTGACTGACACGGAGGTTAGGGCATTCCGGGGTCCTTAGCGAAGAGGCACTTGCATCCTAGCACGTCCGTGATATGGCCTCCTCCATGTCTGCTGTGCTGCGTCCCGCTTCACAGACACAGGGGACTTTGACCCTGTCGAGGTGATGCGGCCCCAGGCACCCGGGCTGGGCTCCACACCTGAAGCTCCCATTCTTCTCCCTTTATGCATCAGATAAGCAGTGGTTTCCCCTGGCTTTGGAAAAAAGCATGGCTTTTCATGTCTTTGAATATTTCAAACTTGCCTAAAAGTCTAAAAAATCATATGATAACGCCGAGGAATCTCCTACCCAGACTGGATCGGTCCCCCAAGCCACGTTCTCCCTCCTTCCTGCCTGCTGGTCTGACCCTGTCCCTCCCTCCATCCTGTTTTGTTTTCATTATTTGTTTTTAAGAAACACGCTCTGCAGTCAGAGCTGAAGCCCCATGCTTCTGTCGCATTCCCTTCTCACCCTCGTTGGGAGTGTGTCTTTGCTGAGAACTTTTTTCCACTTCACGTATAACCTCATAAAAATATATGGTCGTCAGTGGTATTTTAAAAATTCACATAAATGGCATCAGACCACTTGAGTTTTTAGAAATACGCTGTTATATTGTTTTATTTGTGGTGACGTGTATGTTCCGCCTCATCCAGATCGCTGGACAGAGATGTGCAGGGCCGTCCAGTCCTGGGCTGTTAGGACCCGGCCCGCAGTGCCCGGCCCTGCACACACCTCCTGTGCCCATGCCAGCCACCGATTTCGGTTTCCCTGGCGATTTTGCTAATGCGAAGCCGCACATGAGCCCTGGCACGCTGGGCTCCGTGGGGGGATGGGGGCTGCCCTTACAACTGAGGCCGAGAAGCCCCCCGCCAGTGCGCCACCTCCAGGAGCCCCACAGTCAGCAGTCCTGTGTCAGCAGGCGCTTCCCTTTGACCGACTGCGGCCTAGGGTTGTGGTGCGTTTTTGTCACGTGTCAGGTTACTACTGGGACTCTTTGCTGATTAGGTTTGTTGTTCTGTTTTTCTTGTGATTTCTCCTTTTGCCCACGTGTTATTTAGAAGTGTCCCGTTTAACTTCCAAATATTTGGGGATTTTTGAGGTCTTTTCCTTTTGTTGATTTGTAATTTGATTATGCTGTAATCAGAGAACATTGTATGAATTCAGCCTATTCTAATTGACTTTATTTAAAAACTTTTTAAGCCAAATTGTCTATTTTTCTAAGCTTTTCTTTTAAAGTGTTCGATTAACGCGTGGCTGACGTAACATCGTGTTAGTTTCAGGTGTACGACATAGGGACTGGATCCTCCACACGTGACAGAATGGCCACCTCTGTGAGTCTGGGTGCCACCTGTCCCCGGTGATGAGTTTTCATTTCAAGATTGGAGCGTTAGCACTATTTCCAGTGTGTGCTTTTTTAGCTTCCGAGCACAGAAGGAAGAACGGTCGAGGTCCTAAATGTAGCTCTTGCTTTCTACACATGGAATTGATACAGGTCTGTCTGTTACTTTCGATGGGAAAAGAGAAGACTACTTTCCCGACCTAATGAAGTGGGCCTCCGAAAATGGAGCCTCTGTCGAAGGGTTTGAAATGGTCAACTTCAAAGAAGAGGGCTTTGGTTTGAGAGCAACCCGAGACATCAAGGTGAGTTCTGATCCCTTCGTGCAGGGGGCCCTTGTGTGTCTGGATGGAGCTGCCGCGAGGCCACAGGACGTGCGGGCAGGTGTCTGGGCTTGTCCTGACGTCGGGGGCGAACAGGCAGCCTGCATCCAGCATTCCACGGGCTGCCACCTGGTCTCCAGGCTGACCAGGGGCCTGGGAGAGCCCGGCCCAGGTTCGAGGCAGCCCCTTCCGGTCTGTCTTCCCTGGGAGCCACGCTGCTAACCAGTGACCTGGGGCAAGTCCGGTCCTGTTTTGGAGCCTCTGTTCAGAGAGCACAGAACGTGCCTCGAAGGATTTTGAGACTTGAACACAAGGATGTGGGCTCAGGTGGTGAGGAGGGGGAGCACGCAGGGCCTGCGACAGCGTGGACGTGGGGCAGGGGTTGGGCGGTGTCGGGTGCTCACTGGTTTCGTGGAGGGGGGGACAGGGTGCTTGGCCTGGCCATGCCGCCTGCCAGAGCTGCACCGCTGGAGCTGTACAGGAGGGAAGAACAAGACACGCCTGCTCAGGGACAAATGCCTTTGCTGTGCTCTGGGTCCCTCCTTCTAGATGAAGGGGGCATCTCGATGTTCCCAGCCTCTCTCTGCCCCTCACTCCCGCCTCTCTCTCGGGAGGCATAACCTAACCCGATGATGTGGGGAGGAGGAACTGGCCTCGGCCTCTTTCTTGGTGGGCGCCGATGGGCACTGTGCACCCCTCCCGCGGTGCCCTCTCCACCCTGTAAGCTTTGCAGGGGCAGCCGCACGCGGGGAGGCCCGTGGGCTCCAGTTCTGCCTGCAGCTAGGTGGGGGAGTCTGTCTAATTCTGGGATTCAGTAGGTGATATTTTGGGTGACCATCTGTTGTATTCTTGTGTCTCTCTCAGTGGGTTCAGTACGGGGATGGAGGAAATCAGTGTCATTTATTTGGGCCCCTCAAACCTCAGGCAACATTTTTGGCCAAGTTGTAGTTAGCTTTTCATTGATAAAATGTCCATAAAGTGTCTACTGGTTTATTTGACACTATTAAATACCTAGCCTGTGGGTCCTCCATAGATCATTTTTATGCCCCGTCCTGCAGAGCAATCCAGGGTCTTCCTCCATGGTGCTCCTCATCGGTAGTAAAGAACAAGACACACAGACACGTAACTAAATGGTGGACTTGGCGGGGGGGGGGCACACTAACCAGGGTGTCACACGGTCTTCTCTTGCATCAGAGGAGAAGCATCATTCGTGGGGATGCCACCCCAAGTCCCCAAGTATCTCATCTGGGGTCTGTCTTCCCTGTGTGCAGTTTTTTGTTTTTTTTTTTAAGTTTTCCTGTGGTATAACTGATAAAAAAAAGTGCACACGTTTAATGTTTACATTTTGGTGGGTTGGGTGTAGGCAATACACCCACATCATCACCACAGTCAAGGCACCGCTCTGTGCGTGTTTTAAGCAACGTAGATGCACACACAGAATGTACCATTGGCAAAATGTGAGATGACACTGTGGAGAATAAATTCAGTAAACCGGAGAATATGTCTTAGAGACTTCTGCTTTTGTCATTGTGCTTTATTTTTTAATTTTTTAAATGTTTATCCATTTTTGAGAGAGAGAGAGTGCGAGCATGGGAGGGGCAGAGAGACAGGGAGACACAGAAGCCAAAGCAGGCTCCAGGCTCCGAGCTGTCACACAGAGCCCGACATGGGGCTCGAGCTCATGAACTGTGAAATCATGACCTGAGCCGAAGTCGGACCCTTACCCAACTGAGCCCCCCAGGAGCCCTGCATTGTGCTTTAAAGACCAGCACGCAGAGAAAGGAATGTTACTCTGGCTTCAGAAATTCAATAGCAAGAGCAATTCATATTGAAAGAGTCAAGTTTTCGTTGGAGAGAGAAATTTTGTTTCATTTTTAGAACTTAAAAGCACAGCAAATAATTAATGGTTTTGTGTGCCACCCCAAATCGCTATGTTTGCTTCAAATTAAAGTTGAAAGTCCCATTTTTTAATTTGTTTTCTCAGTGTATACAGTCAGTGTTTCTATGGGAAGTAGAATCTTAAGCCCTGCTTCTATTCATTTCACTGTACCATAAACGCTTACATTTAAAATACATATTTGATGATGAGAAATGAAGTGCTAATGTGCAACCTTAAGTACTATTTCATGTGGAATTGGATTTCTGACCATAGATGAAGTTTGGGCTGACGATTGTTACACGTTTTGATGATTCCATGATTTTCTTATTTTTTTCCTCCTAGGCAGAAGAATTATTCTTATGGGTTCCACGAAAATTACTAATGACTGTTGAATCTGCTAAAAATTCAGTGTTGGGTGAGAATAATTTCTGACTTGTTCAAGGCAAAGTACAGACAATAAAAATATATGAAATTTTATTTTGTGGTTCTAAGGACCATATTTGGATGGTTTCTCAAACTAGTGAAATATTCCACCAAACTCGTACTGTTTTCCATGCTTTTAATCTTTGGAAGAAAGGTGCATGTTAATTTAAATATTACAAGGCTTTTCAGTTATTTCTGTAACTTTAACATCTATTTTGAATGAATACTTTTTAAAGCACTTTGTGGAACTTAACGCTGCTAACTTCTGGGTTAATTCAGGGCCTTTGTATTCTCAAGACCGGATTCTTCAAGCTATGGGAAATATCACACTAGCCTTTCATCTGCTGTGTGAGCGAGCCGACCCTAACTCTTTCTGGCAGCCCTACATTCAGACCCTCCCTAGCGAATATGATACTCCTCTCTACTTTGAAGAGGATGAAGTTCGGGACCTGCAGTCCACACAAGCCATACATGATGTCTTCAGCCAGTATAAGAACACGGCTCGGCAGTATGCCTACTTCTATAAGGTCATCCAGGTGAGTGGCTGGTCACCACTTAAATGTATGTTCAGCAGAGTGAGGAAGGAAAGTGAAATCGATGGCGTGAGTGTTCACATTTTATAACAGACACTTAAACATTGTGCTTTTTTTAAAATCTTGTATTCATCTCGGAGAGAGAGAGAGAGAGAGAGAGATACAGCGTGAGCAGGGGAGGGTCAGAGAGAGGGAGACACAGTTTTTTTATGTTGCTGAACTGAAGCTCTGGCCCCATTTACGTCCTCCCCAACCCTCCCCAGGCCCTACTTTCTTTTTTTCTTATTTTTTCAGTCTTTTTATTTATTTTTGAGAGAGAGAAACAGAGGATGAGCAGGGGAGGGGCAGAGAGAGAGAGAGAGGGGGAGATACAGAATCCGAAGCAGGGTCCAGGCTCTGAGCTGTCAGCACAGAACCCGACGTGGGGCTCGAACCCACGAACCATGAGATCATGACCTGAGCTGAAGTTGGACGCTCAACCTACTGAGCCACCCAGGTGCCCCAACATTGTGCTTTTTAGGTTAAAAGGCATTGGGATTCTAGCCCACTGTCTCTCCTTGTACAGGAATATCACGGAAGTGTGTTTGAAGTACGATGAAGTAGGACTTCATCAGTGGCTGGTGTTGTAACCAGTGCTTGCTCCTCCCATCCAAGTACTAACCAGGCCTGACCCTGCTTTAGCTTCCGAGATCAGAGGAGATCAGGCGTATTCAGGGTGTTATGGCTGTAGATGCACTTGTTCCTAAATCGGGAAAGTCACCACACTTTTCTGTAAAGGGAAGATTATAGTGGGACTTTAGAAGCTACAAAATGTATCTAATATGAAAAACGGCTCTGTGGATAAATTTTCCTAGAAAATGAAAGCCCCTTTGTGGGTTCTCTGTGTATGTATTGACATGTATCTTATTAAATTATAGTGGCAGTTCATTTACTAAATGATAAAGCTGAGTTCTTGGTGTGTTTCAAAGTGCGCCGTGTATTATATTAGTTTTTATTAGTTTTAGGTAAAAGTGTCGTATGGGAAGGTCTGTAAGCTCGTGGACATTTGAATTGCACCTAGTTGCTCCCTTCTGAGTTTTGGCACCTCAGCCGGCATTATCTTTCGTTTCCTGTTGAACAGCAGTCCGACCCGTCAGGGTCAGTGTCGCGGTTCCCTCCGGAGCTGAGATGGGGGTTGTCTCTGCCCCCAAGTCTCCCCTTTCTCTGTTGCTCAGGAATCAGCCCCTGGGCTGCGCTACCTGATATCTGGAAAGGGCGATGCTCTTGAGTTTCCCGTGATAACCAGGGCAGCCACCCAATGAGGGGTTTCCCAACCCTGAATGTCAGTAGTGCTGCGGTCGAGAAATCCTGCTTTGTGTTTATGTAGAGAGCAGAGCGTCTCAAGTACCTGCACGGTCCCAGAGTTCTTCGCTCCCGACTAATGGTCAGATGCTGGGGGCCTGCCTCCACAGAAACGACTCAAGCTTTGTAGTGAGTTGGACCCGAGTTGACACCTAGGTTCTGTCTCACACCCGACTAATGGTCAGATGCTGGGGGCCTGCCTGCGCAGAAACGACTCAAGCTCTGTAGTGAGATGGACCCGAGTTGACACCCAGGTTCTGTCTCACTTGCTGATTAAACACAGTTTGGACATACAGCGGACCCTTGAGTGGCGTGGGTCCACTTGCTCACAGTTCTTTTTGATAAATACAGCAGAGTGTTGTGACCGTATTTTCTCTTAGGATTCTGTTGATAACAGTTTCCTTTCTCCGGCTTTATTGTGACAATACAGTACATAACGTGTAACCTACAAAATACGCGTTAATTGACTGTTCATCTTATCAGTGGCGCATCCGGTCGACCGTGGGCTATGAGTAATTAGGTTTTGGGGGGAGCCAAAAGTTGTGTGTAGATTTTCACCTGGGTACGGGTCAGCACCCCAACCCCTGCATTATTTGGGGGTCAGCCATAGGGACTTTACCCCTCTTTGTTTCTTCACCTGTGGGATGGAAACATAAGCCCAGTCTTTCAGCGTCACTAATGTCAGCGGAGGCTGGGCTGTTCGCCAGAGCACCGTGCAGTGTGGGCCTCGGTGCCTGTGGCCACGAGAGGTGCAGGCCCCTCGGGGAACATGAAGGTCGTCTCAGTTGAAGCCCCGACGCATACGGTGCAGTGTGGTAGTCGGGGAGGCGGGCTCAGGAGCTGGCCCACGGGGTCCAAATCCTCGCAGCGACGTTAGAGCTGTGCTCTTTGGGGCATCTCTGTGCTCCTGCTTCCTTCTCTGTAAATTAGGCAGGGCAGCGCCTGACTGCAGGGTGGCTCAGCAAACCACACACGAGGCGATCTGTGTGTGGCCCTTGATCCAGCAGAGTTTGCAACAGAAATTCTCGCTCCATTTGTGTTTCTGTTTTGCGTCTCATTCCTTCAGGCCGTGTCACACCGTTGTTTTAGTTTTTCATTGTTTTAAATTGCTTCTCGCCCGCACGTGCCGTGCCTTATGGACCTTAACCCTCAGCTTCCGTCCAGAAACACGCCTAGCAGCCAAGGATGATGGGGAGTATTCCCGCAAGACCAGGGACTGCATGCAGCCATAGTGACCCATTACCAGCCCCAACTGCTTCCGAGTCTCATGCTTTTGTCACTGGTGTTGTTGGCTTTGCTTCCATGTTTTAAAATATTAGCCATTCACCCAAATGTCTATGTGTCTGGGCTGGTTTTAAACCCGTGTTACATGGCATACCATCAAGTCAGGCGGCATCGTAGGAAGGCACCCAGTCTATCCTGGGACCCTACGCACTGCCGTGTGAGCCCTGAGGCCCTCTTCCTGGGGCAGGAGGACAGCTTTGCGTGTGGCCGGCACCGTTACCCCGACACCGCGGCCGGGCACGGACACTCCCTTCCCATTAGTAACCCAGGCAGTAGAAGGGAATCATCACAGGTTGAAAATACATCCTTATGCATTTTGGTGGGAAAGCTCCCAGTGAGTGGTTTCCTTGCAGTGCTGGTTGGAACAGCACAGGCTGCCCGAAAGGGGGTGAGCCGCCATGACGGTGAGGAGGGTCCAGGCCGCAGAGGTGTTTGCTTCTTTCTTGTTTTTGTTACTTTTTTAAAAATGATGGTTTGACATCAAAACCCTAGAGGAGAAAGCAGGAAACAACCTCCTTGACCTTCACCACAGCAATTTCTTATTGACACATCCCTAAAGGCAAGGGAATAAAGAGCAAAAATGAACTAGTGAGACCTCATCAAGATTAAAAGCTTTTGCACAGCAAAGGCAACAATCCAAAAACTAATAGGCAACCGACCGAATGGGAAAAGATAGTTGCAAATGACATATCAGATAAAGGGCTAGTATCCAAAATATAAGGAACTCACTAAACTCCACACCTGAAAAACAAACAATCCAGTGAAGAAAGGGGCAGAAGACAGGAACAGACACGTCTCCAAAGAGGACATCCAGATGGCCAACAGACACATGAAACGATGCTCAGCGTCCCTCCTCATCGGGGAAATACAAATCAAAACCACACTGAGATACCACCTCACGCCGGTCAGAGTGGCTAAAATGAGCAAATCAGAGAACTCTAGATGCTGGCGAGGATGTGGAGAAACGGGCACCCTCCTACCCTGTTGGTGGGAATGTAAACTGGTACAGCCCCTCTGGAAAACAGTGTGGAGATTGGAGATTCCTCAAAAAATTAACAATATAACTCCCCTAGTACCCAGCAATAGCACTGTTAGGAATTTACCCAAGGGATACAGGGGTGCTGATGCACAGGGGCACATGTAGCCCAATGTTCATAGCAGCACTCTCAACAATAGCCAAAACATGGAAAGAGCCTAAGTGTCCATCAATGGACGAATGGATCAAGATGTGGTTTATCTATACGATGGAATACTACATGGCAATGAGAAAGAATGAAATCTGGCCATGTGTAGCAACATGGATGGAACTTGAGGGTATTATGCTGAGCGACATAAGTCAGGCAGAGAAGGACAGATACCATATGTTTTCACATATAGGAGGATTAGGAGAAACTTAACGGGGGACTGTGGGGGAGAAGAAGGGGAAAAATAGTGGGGAAGAGGGAGGGAGGCAAACCATGAGAGTCTCTTAAATGCTGAGAACAAACTGAGGGCAGATGGGGTGGGGGGAGGGGAAGGGGGGGTGATGGGCACGGAGAGGGGCACTTGTGGGGATGAGCACTGGGTGTTATATGGAAACCAACTTCACAATAAACTATTTTTTAAAAAGATGATGGTTTGAGTTGAGCTGCTTTTCTGGACGTAGAATGTTGTCACTGCTCATGGAGTCTTCAGGATCCACGGGAAACCCACGTTATTTTGCTAGGTCAGGCTTCCTCACCCCAGCACCAAACCATGTGTCTTCCTCATGCTGTTCCAGGGTCAGAGAGGAGGATTTTGCTCTGTTTTAGCGGATCACTTCGGCAGCGTGTTGGCGCCCAGGGAGAAGGAGTGTGAGGAATGTGTTACGTCAGCTCGTAGTTAACATTTTCATCACAGTGAACGGTCCTCTGTTTCGTTTTGTTGGGGATTGAGGCTCTTCACCTTTCCCAGATCGTGGGAACCCTCTTCCCAGAGGCATATGTCCTGTATCACAAATGCTTGTGTGCCATTTGAGGGTGTCCAGGTTTTCCAGAACCTGATTTGTAGTTTTTAGTTACAACTCCCCATTTAAAGTCATTTTCCTGTGGCTGGTCAGCGGCACTGAAACTCACTATTTGTTTCTGAGCTGACTGGCTGGAAGGCCTGTCAGGTTCTTGGCCACGGCCTCTGGGTGCACCAGCAGTGTGCATGCAGGCACGATCGGGTCCTGTGTGTGTGTACTGATGGCCTCCAGTCCCTGGGGAACGGTCCAGAAAAGTGCTGCCAGTTCAGCCACTGTAGGATATTAATGCTGAAAGAAAAGCAGCATTAGTACTAACTTCTCGTCATTATAACTTCCATGAGGCAGCTTTCCCTGTATTGCACTTTTCATTTTAATGTTTGTCTCTCTGTCTCCT